CCGAAGTGACGGATCATCCATAGCATAGCTTGGCAGGGTAAGTGGTGGTGCGGAAACGACTGTGGAGGAAGCAAGTCCAGGAGTTGTGCTTTCGTTTTCAGAGTGGAGATTTGAGCCAAATGTAGACAATGTCGAATCACTGGGCGGGCCGCGGATCATTTCAGTGATCTGATTGGCTAGTCGACTAGAAAGGGTGTCTGATCGCGTCGATTTTTCCGTAAAACTGTTTCCAGCTGAATAAAAAAAGAAAAGAAAAGAAAAGTAGCCAAAGATTAGATAGAAGTCAATTATGACGACTGAGCACGTAATTTTGCATTATATGCGTTAATGTATGCCAGATTGCAGATTATTTCTATTTCACAATGCTAAAAATGAAAGTAAGACACGAAATATATCGAAACTACAGTGTCTTACTGTTTAAAATACCTTTACGAGATACAGGATGCAGTGCACTTACTTCATTTGGTAGTTTTTGTGGAAAAAAGTAAATAAACGTACTATTTCTTAGAGTACGGATTCTTGCTCTGATGATGTCTGTCACGACGAGACGGACAAGAGCTTAGCAAGACATTGAAGCGAGCAATTCGTCGCACAATCTAATAGTCTTCGCACCGTGGCAATCTTTCTTCGTTTTCCAGTGAGACCTTTGACGAATTCCTTCCAACAAATTGTTTCTTCGAAGTGTAAAGTCATATCACAATGAATCACTAAGGCATCCTTAAAAACCAAATTTTTCTTCAGGTCTTGACATGGATAGTTTGTACGAAATTTCCTTTCTGCACACAGCCCCTAGACCCAAAGATTCTGTCACGCGTTCTTCAGCACCATAAAGGATACGGTAGTAGTACGAACCAGGTCTCATACAAATATGTCGAGACACATGGTTAAGGGGTGTTTTGAAAAAGTTGTATTTAATAGGGACTTACTCATAAAAAAGTAAGGTAAATGAAGTTTGAACTCAATAGGGCAGAGTACTAAGAATTTGACAATATAATAAACTGGCTAAAAAGACCTGGTTGAGCTTACTTCCATTTCGAGTGAAAGTGTTTGGTGAAGAGATTCGAAGGTCGGTACCACCAGAAGACGATGGCGGATTTCTCTTGACCAGCTGTCGATTGGCTTTACTCTAAGATTCATGCTGACGCTGTTTTCGAGGCAATCTCCTACGATTCCGGTTAAAAGGTGCTAAGCTCTTGTCCGTCATATGACGGACATCATCCGAGCGAGGTAACATCGTCACAACAAAATTCAAGCTAACGAGTCAAGAAAACTCACCGGCAAATCACTAAAAAGTGGTATATATAATCTACATCTGGCCTCTTATCAAGTAAAAAGTGCCATCGTCTTCTGGTGGAACCGACCTTCGAATCCCTTTACCCAACACTTTCACTCGAAATGGAAGTAAGCTCAACAATTATGAAACAAGAGATTCCTCGAAACCCAACTTTTCTTCAGCATAAATAAACCGTCCTATAATAACTAAATGCAGAGATTTAACATAAAATGAGCAATCTAAAGAATTATCCGGATAGAGATATTAAAACAGTCGAAAAGCATGATATCAAAAGTTAGGATTTGGGGTGAAATGGTCCGGAAAATCGAGTGAGAACAAAGAATTGCAGTGCAAAGAGCAAGGATCCTATTTCCTGATTTTTGTCAGTGGCCTCATCCTTGCTCAGATGGCTCGTAGAATATTTATATATTATATTAACAGACAAGAGTAAGCAAGCAAGAATTAGGTCGAAAAAGCTTGAGAAAATGTATAATATACATAAAGAGACAGTCAGTTTATCAAATGGATATCCAGACAAAAGGTAATAAGAACACCTACACCTGAGCCCGGAAAATCGAGAAAACGAAGAGTCAGGAGAAACTGGAGCCGAAGACGCCATAGTTGGGGCACTTGGCTCTTTGCATGAGACTACTTTTAAAAGCTCCATGGCCAGTTTGTTGGTATCTGTTCTGGTAGTGCTGGCGGAAAAGACGAAATCGAGTTCCTCTGAGCTGATTCGTTTAGAAAAGGTCGATAAAGTCGGTGCTGTGGGCGTAATTATATGGCCATCGCAGTCTGATTTGGTCACTATGGAGGAGCCAAGTGGCGGCGCTCGAACGGAGGGACATGGAATACTAGAGGCATGGGGCTGAGAGACAGAGGTTGCCTGATTGTCAGTGGCAGAACATTCGGTCGTGGTGCCTATGGTGTGCGATGGAGAAGAGAACAAGGATGAGGACAGCGGACAGGGCGGAGCAGTGGGCCGTTTAGCAGAGCTTGTAAGTGAGGTGGTAGGTGAAATGGCGGGTGAGGGCGCTGAAGGGGTCGGTGGGGCTTTAGCATGCGGAGAGGGGGAAGGTTGTGGTTGTTTGAGACCCATCAACCGGCGAACTTCTCGCGTGCGCAGTTCAAATTTGAGTTCTATTCGTCGTCGGTAGTCGGCTTCCTCACGATTCAGGATTCCAAGAAATGTCTTCAACTCTGCCAGACCGAAGCGATTCCACTAGGCCGGAAAGGATAAGCAAAAAATTCAAAATCAATCGGTTTAGAAAAACAGGTTACATTTGGAATTGTCGATAAGGCGATTTGGTATACTCCTAGACACTTTGCCAGCATCACCAGTCCTGCAATCCTTAGAACCAGGCTAAGATTCATCAGTCCAACGAAGCCTATCTCTTGACCAACCTTCTGCAGAATAGCTGTGATATCACAGTATCCTGTTCAGATGAATATAGCAGAGAGAGAGAAATGTATGATGAAAGAAAGAGGATAGGTACCAAAACAGTTGAGTAGAAAGTTGGTCAAGAGATGGACTTACTTTGTCTCTTTTACGAGTTGTAGCTCCCCGATCATATCGACTAAGATGTCGGTGAAATGCCTAGAATGTATAATGCCCATTTTCTGAAGCTTTAAATCATCATAACTATTCATGTAGGAAACGGCCAAACATCATGAAGAAGTTGCGAAAACGAGTCTTCTACGACTAAAGCATGGTGCGACCAAAATGGGAGCTGCACCATCTTAAGCTTCATACCCTCGACTGGAATAGTGAAGAAAGTTTGGAAGGATAAAGTTATCAAGAGGTGGTTCGAGTCTCATTCACAGTGCGTTTATAGCTCATTTTATAATAAAGTAACTAGCATTTTCGGTAATCAAAAACTCCTTAGGAATATAACCAAAATTGCGTATATGGTACAAAGACTTCAATGAACCAATAAAATGCTGAAGAAATGAATAAGTGATTCTATAAATTCTATTTGCAAGAGCACGTATTCCGTTAGAACAAAAATTAGGGCGTTCTCGGTTTTAGAGGGATCCACATTATTCTGGCAAAAAACGAGGAATTCCTAAAATTGCCAACGATCTTGAAAGCTTCTTTTGATGATAACAGAAAAAACGCTCGTAATAAGCCCACCTTCATTGTCAAAAGATAATAAGACTATGCCCTCCAACAAAGAATCAAGTTTTCCCATAATACATTCTGTGACCATAACTGCATCTTAATTAACACGCGAATCGAGATTATGCGAGGATGAGGCAGATAATTTTGCTGAGTGTAAAAGATTCACGGGTTTTTAGTTAGTGGAATTAATATCGCTGTTGAGTAAGATGCGAGAATAAGTTCAATTGTTTCATTCAGCCAATTCATAATAAAATAAACTTTTTAATTCAATATAAGATTTGATTCCCTAATTCTTAGTTATCGCAGATTAGGCATACAATAAGTTCTTCAGAATATTTTTACAAAGTTCGCTCTCAGTCAACGGATCAGTTCAAAGCTTACGAACTAAAGAAGACCGTGATGTAAGTGATAGAATATTATAGATTCTTAAAATATAAATCAACTAATGATGGTATAGTCTGGACCAAGATGAATCATTGACGGTATCACATTTGAATGATCCAAACTAAAACATCTTCGAAGTAAGATAAATAAGGCATATTAATGAATAATATTTGATTGTCAAAGAAACAATGTGTGAGAAAAGAGGCCACCAGAATGTGTGTATATCAGAAATGGTGAAGGAAAGGCAATCTGGATCTAATATAATTTCGTCCAATTTAATTATAGACAATAGATTCACAAAGTATGTCAGAAAGCAAATAAATTAGACTAAATTGTTAGTGTTTTATGAGACAGACTTTAGTTAATTTAATCAAATTATGTTTGTGCTTCATGTGTTCTAGATAGTAATTTATTTGCGTCAGAAGCTCTACTTCCATGGTTAAAATACAGAACAAGTGCTGAGAGGACCTAGGCGAGGCAGCAACTTTGTCTAGCTCGGATAGGAAAGCTTTTATGCGACGAAATAAGAACTTCAACAAGATATATTATGGAAAGCTTAACAGTAGGTGCCTGCAAGGCCATGCATGATCCAAGGCAAATCAACCAAATGTGTAATCAATTATGCAAATCGTCAATTAGCCTAAGAATTGGAAAGTCATATTACACTACTATCAGTAATATTCTTAAATTTAAATAAACTTTCAGTATAGCATGCATAGACTATGTATCTTCAGACAAAAATGAATTAGAGGTACCGCTCTTGGACTTAAAAAAATAGCATCTTATAGGAGTATAGGACAAAGAGTTATTTTGTAGAATTAGGTTGCATGTGAACTTCTGATTCATGAATTGTTTTTTATATAAAATATTTAAAAAGCTTAACGAGTAATAAATAAAATGTTTGAATAACAGATTGAAAATATAAAGTGGATAATAATAGATAGTTTACAATAACAATAAAAAATAGTATATGTCATTTGAAAGTTGTCTATCTTATGATATTAGCTAAGTAGCCTTAACACTGATTGGCCGGCCGATGCCCATGCATGCACAGCTGGATGCAGTTGAACACCCAGGAAGTGTGCAGCATTTTTCTCTTAATTTCACGAGTTACTATTGAATGAAAGATTGTTTTGGGTGTTTTCGGAAAATGCTTGATGAGTGCCTTCCAAGGGAGATGAGAACGATTCTCTAAAATTGTGATATTGCCCAAAACCTATTTTAATTGCTTTGTGAAGAGACTTGCTATATATGCAGAACAAATGGTTAGAAGAGAACATACTATTTAATTACTAAGATAGGCATCACTATGATACAGATCGAGTGATCATGTACTATCAGATTGGACACAAGCAACTGTCATTTGGCTACTGTGAGTTTACAAAAAAAGTCAAACACTTTAATGGGAATTTTTTAAAGCCAGATTTATCAAGAAAAGTTTAGCTTGTCAAGCCATTACTTTTTCTGTAAACTAACTATGGACTGACTAGGTGCCTTCCTCTAGGTCATCCTACCAAAATGACTAAGTTGTGCAAAGAAGGTTAAACAACTTCTAAACTAGATTGTTAAAAAAAAATTTGTACAAGGCCTTGGCCCCAAAGGGCATATATTGTATCCAATATTGCTCATATGCTAGCCATATTTATTAAAATACAGTCTATAAGATATGCGGTTTATTAGCACTATTTTGTTTAAGGTGAAAAGGAGTCTGATAGTTAATATGAATAGGCCTTACGTTTCATTTGAGTCCCACATAACCTGGCTTCTCCAAAAAGTAT